CTGCCAAATTGCGTTAACATTCACTTATTAATTTAAAAGTTATAGCATGAAAAGTATAATAAGCACAAAATTGTTACGAGGTCAGTCCAAGGGACCGAGCCCATGCTGAAAGAATTAAAAGGGTCACTCAAATGTCATCCAAAGGGATCAGTCAGTCTTTCAATCCAAAATTATCACTGAGTCAACCAAAGCAATCAGTCAGTCTTTCAATCCAAAATTATCACTGAGTCAACCAAAGCAATCAGTCAGTCTCTCAACCCAAAATTATCACTGAGTCAACTAAAGGAATTAGACATACTGTCAATCAAACATAGTTGTTCAAACATCAGTTTGAGGGATCAGTCACTATATGAACCAAAATCATCAGTACAACTGCCTATAAAATGAATAAGTCACACTTTTAAACCAAAAATATTAATCAAACTGTCCTGTCAGCCAAAATAATCAATCACTGACAATTTATGCAAATTTGATTTAAAAAAAATATGTTAGAATTATGATATTGTACTTTAATAGTCATAATCTTGAAATATTTACTATGCTGTTAAATGCAATACACTTGACTGTCTGTAGAGACAACAGTTTATTTCAAGATACACAATACAAATGCTATTATAGTGTCTGTTTATCAAGCAAGTATTTTAAATGTATTGTCATTACCCATTCTGTTGAAGACCAAACAAAGAATATTCTACCAACTTTCATAATTATATTCTGTTTGTAAAATAGATTACCTCTGTAATAACACAGGGTTTGAAATTCTGTGAATATTCTTACAGGGAAAAAAAAATAATGTTATAACAACATGATATAAAACTTTCAACAGAGGCCTCTTGAAAGTTTCAATATGCTTTCTGAAATTCTGTATGCAAGTCCACTTTCTGTTCATAATAAAAGTTTCATGCTCTAAAAGATTGCTTAACATGACAAAAACTTGATTGGTGGTCATTTTGATGTACTATATGCCCTCAGTGCAAATTCTATGAGCTAGTTATATTCTTTGAAATTTTATATTTCATAACACATCAATAGAGATCTACCTTCTTTCTGATTTGGGTATTCATGCAATGCTAGAGAAATGCTTTCTGTGCTAGCCATCCCTAAGTTTGAAGTGATAGACTTGAGGTAAGGCAGTTAGTAAACAGCACCCACTGCCAACTCTTGGACTACTCTTATCAAAAACATAACTATGGCCCCAAAGTGTAAGAAACACTTTTTTTTTCTTTCTTATAGTAATGGGATGTGAATCAAGGGCCCTTGGATCTACAGTGTGGCATGACAACCAGACTCAAATACAATGTTAGAATTTATTTTCACCCAAAAAATGCAACAAGAGTAGCTTTCACAGACTAGTCTGACTGTACTGGTACATGCTTATTTTACAAATAATATTATACAAGTTTTCCAGTAATAGAGTTTATAATAATAATAAAAAATGTCTTCTTACTTGAAAGAGTTGGGATAAACCAGCTCTGAGGTATTATTTCCAAAGGTCGTGTACCACAGCTGCCTTGATTTTTCTCGAATGGATCGTTGAGGGTGAAGAAGAGTTGCTTCCAGAAGTGGACTTAAAGCGGTAAGAAAATCAGAGTTCCAAGGACCATAGTAATGGTTCTGAAGAGAGCAGCATAAAGATTCCCAGAGATTCTCCAACTGAACATGTCAAAGTCAAATATTTATTATAACAACTGCAACTTTCTTGTTTTCCCAAAATATGACATTGAGAGTACTGCTGAGAGTACATAATTTTTATATGTTTTAGAAATAATAAATTTAATGAAATACTTAGGTGGTATAGCATTAACATTAGAAATAAATTATGGGGTTTCTACACCCAGATATATTTATTTAATATAAAAATGTACACAATATCTATACACTTACAAATAACATCTAAAATGTTTTTTTTACATAACAGTAAATTTCAGTCACTATCTCAAAATACAATCTATCCCCATGTGTGAATTAAAAACTCTATGTCCAGCATAAATTTATTACCTCATTTTAATGAAATATAAATTTTTTTTATCCTTTAACATTGTTTTAAGTTTTTAGTAGGCTGTGCCAGGTGTAACAGAACATAATGGTGATGAAATCTTGTTAAAAAACATTTTATATTAAAAAAAATGATATGCCAAACTAAAAACAAAGGGATAGCAAACATGACTTTTTAATGGTAGAGGGTTGAGTACATTATATTAAAATAATTTTGGCTCCTCACCACTTAGTTACAGTCCATGCCTAATCATGCTCTCTCTGATGACCGCGAATCTTGACAGCAGCCCTGCAACCACTACAAAAGGCTGTTAAGTCCACAGCACATCGTTGTTGTTCCCTGCATTGTTTTCATAATCTATCTAGTTTTAACAGTCCTATTACACAGAACTCCAAAATGGAGGGGTCCACAACATGACCAGTTCCCCAGTTGCTTAAGGTATACAATGCTGAATGGGAGGTATATCTAGAAGCCTTATTTTGATGAACCCATACCTACTATTGACCTCATTTCCATATTGAGATCCCTTCTTAATTATGTTGTATACAATTGCAGGGAACAGTGGATGATTTTTGCTGCTGATCTTTGTGTTCAGGGATTCTTCCACTACAAGATGCTGCACCTTGATTACCATGGCTGGGGTACAACCTGTTGCAGGTAAATTTATGAATGGTCCTGGAGTCCCAAATTGATCCGTATTCTGTTGTTTTCCAATGCCATTAAGTAGGGATATCACAATTTGGGAAACTTTAAATTCCCAATCTGAACACATCTTTATAACCAGAGAGTATGAATATTTTGTGCAGGTTTTGGTAGCATCACATTACCTATGAAATGCCAAAATGTAATTCTGATACATGCCACTCCATCATGACTTTATATTGGTTGTAGCTGTCATCTGAGTTAACTGATCTGCATATTCAAATTTTTTAATAAAATGTACTTAACCTCATATTTGGACTAATTGTACATCAGATGGTCCTAAGTGACTCATTGTAACTACAGAGAAGCCTAAACATTATAATAAATTTACTAAATGTGTATGTTTATAGTTTATATTATCAATTTGGCACACATGGAAGACATGATTTTTTTAAACAGAATTTTACCTCACTTGGTTTCTAACTGGCTGCTTTAAGATCACATGATTTTTAAACACAGTATGTTATTTATTTTGCATTTTTCTTAGAAATTTCACTATATTATAACTGTCCACCACATACTCTAGCATTATAAGCTTTCAAGATTCCTGATGAGCTACCAAAAGACAAATAAATATAATCTGGAATTAGCTATAAAGAGTAGACTAGGGATAAAATACCTTAGGTAAAAATGATGAAACATAAACTTTACTTCTACACTTCTTGTTGCTGCTGGCTATATAAAATGGTGCTATAGTTGGTACTAGTTTACTAAACAAAGGACCAATCACAGATGATGAGGTAACACCATCAAACAGTATTTTCACCATCTTTACCAAATCAGTAGCAATCACTGGAAGACTGGTACAGAGTTGTTGAGACTGTTGCTAAATAAAGCAAGAAAAGTTAAGCCTATGAAATTTCAGTTGTAGCAGAAACTTTACTTTCTTATACGCACACAAAATTAAAGTACATTAAAAGAAGTAAATGAAATGAATCAAAATTTTGATCATTTTGTAAAGATGAATTAAGTTTCTTTTCTCTCTTTCAGTTTCAGTGCCAACAAAAGAAATATTGATAAAAAAGTTAGTAATCAGTGTATAATTATAAAAAAATGTTGCTAATTCATAAGTAGACTTAAATGATTGTAGAGGCTACTAACCATGATTATATAGAAAAAAAGAATATTACAGTTTGGTATTTATGCATCTAACTCAAACACATTTCTGAAAGACTATTGTAAGACCCTTTCTAAATAATAATACTAATAATATCAGAAATGACTTATATTATATACATATAACAGATAAATGCAAAAACACTGGCTAAATGTGTGTCACGTGGAAGAAAAAATTACTAAAAGCAAATATTTATATTCAAACACACACTAATATCGGTTCTAATTCAATTTTTACTTTTTTATCTTGTATCTTTTTTAAAAGTTTGATGTGTAAATTTTGATTCTAAAAAAATCCTATTAACATACTTCATTCACAATATTTAATTTTTTTAATAAAGAAAGGAATAAAAGTAGTACTTAACTATGTGAATATTAAATATATATTTAAAAATTTTCTTAAAATAATTTTAACTGTTAAAATTGTATATCTCGAATTATTCAATTACATTAACATTTGATTTTTTTCTATTTTGGTAAGTGAAAATTTGCACAAATTTTTTAAAAATAAAATTCACCTACTTGATAAGCAACTTTATTTCTAGATTTATTTTATTTGTTTAAAATTGAAAGCATGAATTTTTTAAACATAAACCTATTTATTATTTATTGAAAATTAAAATTAAAAACAGCCAAATTTTCCATTTAACAGATACAACATTTTCACACATATTAATACTGAGAAAACACACTTACTACACTTTTTTTTTACACTGTTCACATATGTCCAACACTTTTCAGCTAGGATTAATGTATTAAAATTATTGTTTAACTGCAAAACATTTACATACCTTCTGTGAAAAGCCCATTAGTCTATTTTCAAGTACATTAACAAAAATTAACAATTTTAAAAACTCCATTAACTAACCTTTCCTTTGTCCTCCTCCAGGTCATGAAACTGATTTATAATCTTTATTAACAATTTAACTAAAGAAGACAGGTTTCCAAGAGGTCTCTGCTTTTTCTTGATCCATTTACTAGGACTTGTTGTAACTGAAAATCGCACACACAGAAATTCTGTTTAGGCATTGTCTTGAATATTTCAAAATGGAACACTTAATGGAATTCTAAGCGTTATTCTCAAAATCTTAAGTTTTTAGTGTAAATAAAATCAAAATATAAAAGAACAGTTTAACTTCATCTATTCTGATACATACCCAACTTTCAGTTTTTGCTTACTGTACAGAAATAGTTAAGTTCTTTGCCAGTGATATGAATTCACACACAAAAAGATTCATAAATAGTTACAAATCTTCTTCCTTTATTTGTTGTAATTTAATTTTGTAAATAATTTTTAACAATAAGATTTCCATCTGAAAATTCTCACCTGATGTTGTCTTCCCAATGCTGGAAAAGTCAAGACAGCTTAGAATAACAAAAATTATCTCACAGATCCATTGTAACAAAATTGGGTTCTGAAATAAATGTGTCAAATGTAGAATACACTTAGTTAAAAGATTCCAGATGTAAACAAAAGGAATTTTTAATGAACTAAAAGCAAATTATATTGATAAAAAAGCAAGTATTGCAAATTATTCTCAGACTTATGCATAAAGCAACATACCTTTAACCATTCTTAAGATAAATTTTACACTGAATACGGGTAAACTAAGATTTACAATCAATGATATTTGTCACAAGACAATATCAATAGGCTTAGGTAGTGTTTAAAATACAATAAGCCTAATACTGTTGTCTTATGTAAAATATAATCAATTCTAATAATGCTTTGATAGCAAGGGCATTGAAATCATAACAAGTGTTATGAATCCCCTTACTGGCAAAGCATAGATAACCTGTTAAATTGTTTCTGATACATATTTCTCAACAGCTAATAATCAAAAACCTGAATTTCACATAAGTTAACAAATTACTAGAACCATATCAATGAAGTCAGTGAAACACTTCACTATAAAGATTACATGGGTTCATACATATTTTATATTCAAGGCTTTTTCAAGATCAATAAAGTCAAAATTCACAACAATTTTACTCTTTGAAACTCAAAATATAGGATCAGATGGGGCAAGTCAGCATTAATACAACTTATACCTCTGTACATGAAGCACAGATCAACAAATGTTTTTTTACAAAAAAGTAGAAAAGAAAAAAGCCATGTTTAAGACATAACAACAACAAAGATAAAAAATGCCAACATTATCTAACCTGAAGCATATCAGGTGTCAGCAAGTTTTCAATATTTTGAGAGGTTTCTTCACAATCTGTATTGTATTCTGCTGTGGGAACCAGTGCAGCACAACGAGAAAAACTACAATACAAAGAGCTCCATACATTCAGAATGTGATCCAATTTTATCTGGAAAAATAAAAAAAATTCTAAATAACATTCAAAAGGGGTAATAAACAATTTTTCTATTTGGTAAAACTATATTTTAAAAGTTTACTGAATGGTTGAATAGTATTTCTTTGTTTTGCAAAATATAATACTTCAGTTTTGGATGCTCTAGTTGTAACTGTTTATATATCCACATACTTTATTCTTCCACTGTTACATTTTTTTATTCACTTTTTTTTTTAGTTTCAGCAGATGTTACAGAACTTATAGCTTTTTCATAAAACTAATCAAATCTCAAATGTTAAATAAACAAACTAAAATTCATTTTCTTTATCACAACTTCCAAGCTTCTAAAACTAACAAAACCATAAACGTACGACTTGGAAGCTAGGATCATTTTCCCCCCTTGCAATCTATTTCCTATAGAACTCCCTTTCTTCTTTATATATGGATAGTAAATTTCCAAACTTTAATAAAAGTTATTACACCAATTATTATTGTTTATATAATACAACTAAATCTTATAGTTTGTACATTTTATGCTACATATAGGTAATAAGTTAATATTATTGGTTCCTACTATTTGTTTCTTTCTTTTTTGAAGTAATTACCTTTGCTTTACAAAAACACCTATTAGTAAAACTAATAGTATCTTTTTGAAACAGCTGTACATAATTTCTAACACATTTTCCAAAAAGAATTACAGAGTTAGCTTTTTTCAACAAGATATATTGAGATAAATAATACTGTTTCTGTGTTCTTTTGTTGGGTGGTTTTTTTTTAAATTATTCGGTGAAAATAATGCAAAGTCCAGTCCATGTTACAACAGCATATTAATTTATTTCTTAAATAACATTTGTTACAGTCTATGTTTACTCTGATACAAGTTTGTAGACCTGAAACACAAATAACATTTAATAAGAAATTACCCAACTGATAACCTAACTTACTGATTAACTTTAGATAATCAATCTTCTCTACAACTACTCGATCTTTCACACACTGAATGCTTCACAGAATTCTCAATCACTACTCAATAAATACTTCACTGATTCTCATACTTATAGAGTGTACCCTTATCTAGATATTAGACCATTTCTCTCTTTTTTTTTCATTTGGAGCCCTTTAGTTAACATTAAAAAAATATATATGGCTTACAAAAATATATATATTATGCCACTGGGCTAAATAAGATTAAAATAATATACGAACAAATAATTAACTATTATCAATATATATGGTATATTCAATTTTAACTACAGTATACACATTCTTGATGTAACTTTTAAATTGTTTTATTTCAATGTAAATCTCAGACTTTTAATTCAGTTATTTAGGTAAGTGCCAAGAGAGAGGGGAAAAAACAAAACATTTTCCTGCAAAAGCACCCATTTCATGATCACAGAAGAAATTTTCTTTAAAAGTAAATAAGCACTTTATCCCTACACTTCTTATTTAAAGTCAATAAATTTCAATACTTGAATCACGCAAAATGGTCTTACCTGTTCAGACTGTGTGTTTAAGACATAACGAAAAGGAAAAACCAGAACATTAAGCACACAAGAGAAATCATAGTCGAGTCGGTCACCCTGGTTCACATCTTGTGTCTACAAGAAAGTCATGCAATACATCAAAGAATGGAGTTATGAAACATATAGTTAAACAAAAAGTTATAGCAGTTAAATAGAAACTTTGGAATAATCTAATATCTTCATGAACATGTTATACTAGAGTCCAGTTCACACAAATACAGGCATTTCAAATTCATCAATACACCATTTTCATAGATGTCCTAGATAAGTTCTATATTATACAGAAATGAAACTGATAAACAATTATTGTTTTTTACTATAAGGTTTATTTGATGACACAAATATGTTTTGTACATCAGTTTTTTCAATGACCAAATGTATCAGTTAGGCTGTGTGCACTTAAGAGTTAGAGTCTAGCTTTCAAAGTCAACAGTTCAAGCCATGGTAAGGCAATAAACATACTCCATGCTTTAAATGGTGTGGTAATAAATGTAACAGTCATTCCCACTGTATGATGCTATTGACTGGCTTTCCACATTCAGAGTTCTAATTTATAGATAGTTGTGCCTGAAAAACAGGGTCTCTGACATGAGTTTTTAAGCCAATGTGTGGTATATGGTGCCATTCAGGTTGAAAATACCAAAAGTTCATAAGACAAGGATGAAAGAGTCATGTAGTCACAAGGTACAGGTAGAATAAAGAATGTAAACATTTGAGTTATCATGTGTATTGTGTGCACACACACACACACAATGTTACAGTGACAAGTGCATATTCCAAGACTATTTGAGCAATAAATTATAATTAAGTTTTCCAAAAATCAATAATAGTTAATAATATATTTACAAAAAAGGAACATACACATAAATAGCTTTTATTCATTTAAGAAGTAAAAATTACTGCCGAAACAATTTAATTAGAATATTTTGTAAATTCATATCTATTTATTTAATAAATAAAACAAACCAGATATGATACAAATGCAGTTTTGACTGGTTGAACTGTACAGGCTTAAGTTTGGTTAATTATACCTCAAAAGTTTTGTTAGATGTTATTTTAGGCATCGTATTGCTTAGTAGACAATAGCAGATTCTTACAGACTAAAACTACTATTGTTTTTCTCTCTTAGTTTGTTTGGCATGGTGTTAATATTGGCATAGCCTAAGGTTGCATAAAATAATTATGATAAAGTTGTAAAACGTATACAATTGATTTCAAATGAAAAATTTCTGCTGCATTTATTTCATGACTGTTTTTTCCATTAGCCACGATGGTGAACAGAAAGTACATTACTTTCACCAAAACATTTATCACAAAGGGATTGTTTAATCCTTTCCAGACTAGGGATGGTCACTGATATCCCTCAATTTCTTCCTTCTCAGGGTGGAAATACTTAACTAAATTGATTGAAACATAGAACAAACATACTAAATATTATCTAGTTTCAGATTAAAAAGTTAATATGATTTGATTATTTATTTGTGAAATTTCCAAGATTTTGTTGTGAGACACCAGTTTTTAAGAATATCATTTAATTTCAAAACAAATCTGAATTTTTTCACAGTATATTAAAGAGAAGTCTTAGGCTACCAGCAGCACGCTTCATATTGGCAGTCCAACAGCTAAAGACTCAGAAATATGTTTTGAGAACATAACTGTTATGGCTAATTTAATATGGTACTTTAAAAGTTTCAAACATTTTTAACATCAAAATCTAACACAAATTCTCAAAAGTTGAAACTCACTGATTTGAACCAATGCTTATCTATTACAAACAGTATAGGTTTGCCAGAAAAAGCTTGAAAACCCTAAGATATCATACTTTAAGAAACCTAATGACATTTTGTCCATCAAAAATTTAACTGACACACAATATGACAGGAAAATATCTATATCCTAAACTGTGCAGTATTATGTTCAACAGATTGACTTATACTCACAACTTGAATCACTTCTGATAGAGTACTGGCAACAGAAGTCCATAATTCAATGATAGTCTTCACCTGGACCTCTGATAGAACATGCTTCTCACTCAGAAATTCGATTGAGGAATTAATGAAAGACAACGGTGATAGTGTTCCTCTTGCACCAGTGTTGATTAAATGACTGAATGTGCTTAAAACACTGAAAAAAATTAACCATAAATAACTAAGTAAAATGTCTACAGTACCTAAAAATAAAATAAAATTCCAGGCTCAAAACCAACTTGATTTCCTGTCTAAAGAGTATCTCTTGAATATTTCAGTACTTATATGTCATTTTTCTCAGTAATTAAATTTCAGTTTCATGATGGAAAATAAATTCACTTACCCAGAAATACAACAATAACTTATATCACTTACAATATTTCAATTTTACTATTGGAACATATTTTTAATTCCACCATATGACTAGAAGGGAGGAGATTAATCTATAGCACATATGAAATATAATCTAATACAATTTTAATGGATATAAATACTATCTAAAAAGTGTAGTTGACTGACATTTTTCGTTTCAAAATAAGCTCTGTCCACAAAAACTATTGGATTAGTTAACAAGGAAAATCAAACTAAAAGAATGTTAATTTTGGATATAACACAAGAAGGCCTTTGAGAAACTATAAACATACCTTTCATTCTTATCAGCCATAGACAGAATGCTTGGAGTGCACAAGAGATGTAGAATATTCAGTGCTGGTGTACCCTATATGAATACATGCATTTAGTATTTTACTATGTTTTTTGATGAAAATTCATTTAATGATTTTACACTGTATAGGTTAATTAAAAACTTTAATGTTTAATATTCACCAATTTATAAAATTGATCTTGGTCATGTAAATGAAAGAGAAAACTAGCTTTAGACAACAAAACCAACTGTACAAGCAAAAATTTTTTTACCTTTTAATAATTCTATACATCTATGTAACCATGTTAGTTTCGGACAATTTGTTCTTTGGAACCATTTATGAAGTTTATGATTTTAAATGAGTTGGAAAAGAAGCTAAGTTTATTATGATAGCAAATACTAATGAAAGTTCAATTTAAATAGATTTTCAAGAATAATTTCATACATTTTTTGGAAAATTAGTAAAACATCTTACCCATGTGTTTACTGATACCAAGTCACATTGTAAGCTTCATCATTAGGTTATTAGCTACACTTCTACCATTTATGTTCAGGTGTTGTAAAGATAACTTTAAATATAATGGGACTAATGAAAATAAAATTCATTACAGAATTTCTCTTTTATTCTTTCACCTGTATTATCAACCTGTTTAATCTTCCATCTGTAGTTCACTGTCAAACAGCATCCATAATTCTAGTAATTTGGTACTTCTTGTATGTAAATAATTTGTAAACATGTATGAAATTTGCTAGCAATTAACTTAAATAGCTTAAAAGGTACATTAATTTTGTTTTTTGTTTAGGATTTATTATTATCCATGTATTTAAATGTACTATCTTTTCAATATATAATATTTTAAACTTCATCAATGCTTTTTTTTAAAAAATTCAGAAGAATAAATTTACATTGTAATGTGATTAGTAGAGCTTTGATATTCTTTCCACTAGAGAAAATGAGTACTTTTTTTTTCTTTCTTATACCCAAATCTCATTTTTCATCAAATCAACTTTAAACTTCTGATCTGAAACAAACACCTCAACAAACGAGTTGCTTAAATCCAGGGAGTTCAAAAAATAAAATAAAAAGTACTTAACTGTCAGTCTCCAATTCAAAGCCATGCCAAAAACCTGATGAAGGCAAAAATTGTGATTGAAAACTCTTGAAAACTACATGCTCAGGGAGGTAATCTGCTGAAGTTCCTTTCAGGATTATCCCACCATTACTTTATAAATAATCATCTCCACTTCATTGTTTAATACTCACATGCATTACTTGCAGCTGTCCACTATAGTAACAGTGTGAATTCAGAATTTTCTTGGGAAACTGACTAACACATTCCAACAATTTCTGAAAATACATAAGAAAAAACTGTATTTTGTATTATTTTTTAAGTAATACAAATAATATAAAAAATTTTAAAAAAGGAGTCATGCACTTTTTTTTTAACCCTCTTCTTTATGATAGCATGTACTAATTAGTTCCTTTTGTTTATGACAGACAATTATTAAATTTGGAATCACTGGACCTGTATGTATACAGTCTTACCTGGTTGTCTTTTGCAAACTAATTCTATCCCTCCCTATAGGAACAAATGAAACAGCAAATATCACTCATTTTGGTTAATGATGTAACTATTGTTTGATTTTGCTCTTAACCCTATTATGCTTTAGGTTTTCTTAATCAATAATAAAATGATCATAAGTCCTAAACTGACTAGTTAGCAATCTAAATGAGAGTGGGGAATAATGTGAGGGAAATGATGTGCTCATGTCGTAAATAATAGTGTAGAGTGTAAAAATATGAAGAATTTAATAATAATGCCATGTGGAAAAATTCAGACTTCAAATTTAATAATTGTACAGGTCAAAATCATTGTATGAAATTGAATTTTATTTTTCCTTAAAGAAGACTGAAAAAAATAATTGTGCACACCCAAGTAAGCATCTTGCAGGGTAGAAAATTTCTTCAAACTTAATAATCATACAGGTATGATTATTTGATACACGATAGTCTCACTAGATACTTTAAAGTGTCTTACAGTATCTAAACGTAATTCCAAATTTCTATATCAAAAGTTACTAAACATAAGAGTATTCTATATGTAAGTTTATGTTCCTATATAAAAAATTATCCTCAAGGTATTGTTATGTAGTGTTATATAATCCTTACCCCGATCATGAGAAATAAAATTGATGAAAAAATTATAATTCACCAACTTGCTCTATTTCATACCATAATAGTTTTTGTGAAGCAATATGCTAATATAAATAGCATTTTAACCACTAATATTTTTTGTCCTATCCCTGCTATCTTAATGAGCCCTGATAGGGGGTGAAAAAGCCTCATCAGCACTGGATATAGCAGATATAATGTGGTTGACATTTTATTATACACTCTCATTTACTTTCACTCAGAGGCTTTCATTAATAATTTTTTTGTAATTCAAAATTTAAGAAATCAAACGTTATCTGACAAAGAAGATAGAATTTCATCCAAAACTGGTTTTTTCATCCTGTGACTATACAATACACAGAAAATAATAAAAAATTGCTATCTATTATTACTATTAACACAATCAAATTATAAGAAAATACAACAATAGCATAAAATTGTTTTTAAACTTAAGTGTAACTTGAACATTCAGTTACATCATTAATCTCAAAAGCAAATAAACCACAAAGAATCCTTGTATCTGCAGCATGAATAGCACCTTATATAATACATGGGCTAAATATCCAGGTAAGAGACCCCACAGGTCAGGCATAGCCATCTCTAATTTAGAATAATGACAAAAGAGTGAACAGTCAATCAGCAGGACCTACAGCCAACATGGCTACTCTTAACCAAATAGGGAGATTGGCTGTCAGAGTTATAATGCTCCCATAACTGAAAGTGCAGATAAATCACAGTTTGATCCATGAACCTTATGGCTCAACACTTCTTTAACCAAATGTTCTAGAGATACATCTATTGTAGGTAATTTAAAATTGTATGAAAATTTAGGAAAATAAAAATGCAGTATAGGTTGTTTTCCAGTAGATTGGTTAGTACTTTAAGCACTACACATTTTTTGTAATAAATCACAAGTACCTGCAACATTTATTACTAGAAACACAGAACTTTACAGCTTTCTTTCACTAAAATTGCTCGAGACATAATAATGGTCTAATTTTACTACTATGGTCTCACAACCTATAAATTACACCAAAAGCTGCTCCACATTAAACCAACACACAGATATTAAATTCTACATATGCATCAAAAACGTTTCATTACAACCACTTCTTGTCTTATAAGAAGTATTTTATAGTACTCCAACATAAATGAAATCTGTTAACCATAGTATAATTTTACAAGTAGCACTTTAACACAACTGAATTTTGTCTACAATAACACAAGTTTATAAGCAGCATTTCCTAACTTAATTCTTATGGTATGAGCACCTTTTCCAAAATGGCAAAGCATAATTTTAATTAATTATATTTTTCATAAGACAATTTTATCTTACCCATTATATTTTTAGCACTGCATTCTTTATCTAGTCCCTTAGAGATTTTCATGAATTAGGAGAGTATATAATAATAATACTCCAACTACACCGTGTTCACCATTTCCAATGCAATTGAGAAATTTCGCTCAATCAAGACAACAACAATTCTTGAAAAGTTTTTTTGGTGTACAAAACTTGAAGATAGCTTTTATATGTGGGAACATCGGCACATGTAGATATGTAGATCTTGAAAGTCGAGTTGTTCAAAACTTGAAAATAGCATTGATAACTAGACCAATTGTTGGTTGAGATGTTGCAAAGGAAATATCTGCTGAAGCTTTTCTAATCATAGCAGAACTGTCTGGAAAATGATCTATAGGAAATAGTACAGCTTATAAAATGAGTCAGATCAACGTAGGCCGGTAAGGCAATCACTGATTGGCATGTCCTTAAACCAATCAGGAAATGTCAGACCTACTGAAGGATGTGTATATTGTATAGGAATTCTTTTTGGTGGCAAAGGATAGGTTTATGTGTTTGAATAAAGGTGGCTTCCAAAATATAGAGATGAAAGGTTGACAGACCATTTGCAATAATTTTAAACCTGCTATCCGTGTAGTTGTCAGCACAAGTCGGGTTCAAAAGTAAATGCTGGCCAATCGCTGATTCACATTTTGGTAGAACTTTTGTTTTGCAGGAGCGATATGGTAAATTCTTTTCTTTCACACTCTTATTTCTTATGGATGTGGGTACATGTTGTTTAATACTATCCTGCAGTCTTTGTGAAGTGCGACCTACGTACCGATATTCGCAGTGGCATGAGAATTCTTAAATAACCACACTTTTCTGTGTGTTAGGTATGGCATCTTTGTATGTTGCAGGCAACAGCTTACGTATGGAATAAGCACAGTAGGGGTTCACTGCAGGAAAACATTTAGTAATGGCCATTTTCT